CTCGTGGCCGTGGAGTCAAGGGGGCTGAGTGACGGCTGGGGGGGGGGGTACCTAGTACCTCTTAGGCAGGCCCCAAGGGGCTGCACCAGCAACCCAGACAGGATGGAGCATTTCTGTATTGAATTCCAGGCTGCAGCCTTCTCCTCGTGGCCCTGCACCCCCTTAAGGCCAGTTTCCTGGTGCCCCAACCTCCCAGCAACTGCTGGGACCGTGAGCCTGTGTGCGCAGTGACTGTCCCCCAGCAGCTGTGCCTAGTACCTCTTAGGCAGGCCCCAAGGGGCTGCACCAGCAACCCAGACAGGATGGAGCATTTCTGTATTGAATTCCAGGCTGCAGCCTTCTCCTCGTGGCCCTGCACCCCCTTAAGGCCAGTTTCCTGGTGCCCCAACCTCCCAGCAACTGCTGGGACCGTGAGCCTGTGTGCGCAGTGACTGTCCCCCAGCAGCTGTGTAGGGCTAAGGACAGCCCGGAGGCTCCCTAGAGCCCCATGCGAATTGAGTCCCGCGCCCGCCCCCCCTCCCAAATAAACAGAGGTGCTGGAACATGCTGGCTGGGGTCAGTTCTTAAGGCCTGGGAACTTTCCAGGGCTGGGGGAAAGCAAAGGGCCAGATGCAGGCCCTTGGGGGTGGGGGAGAATGATGCCAGGACAGCTGCTGGGCTCCAGCTACCTAAATTATCTCCCCCCATTACTGCATGCAAGGGGAGTGTGTGTCTCCTCGCAGCCCCTGTGGGCAGCAGGGCAGGGCTGGCCCTGTCCCTTTCAGAGACGGGAATGGCTAAGTGAGTTGCCTATGGCCACGCAGGAAGGCTGGGGCAGAGGCAGGATCAGAGCTATGCCTGGTCCTGCAAGCAGGCTGGGCCCCAACCTCTGCCTCCGAGAGCCAGCTCCACCACCCCGGCTCCTGGAGCAGCCAAGCTGGACGGGGCAGGCTGGGGCTGTTTGCAGCTTCCTGGCTCGGATGCTGAATCCTAACGCCACCCCACTCCGGAGCTCAAGGCCCCAAGCACATTGGCTGCTGGCTGTTATGGACCACAGAGCTACAAGCATCCCCACCCCCCGGCTGCCAGATTCTGCTCCCTGCTGTAATGAGACCAGGGCCCTCTGCCAAGCCTCCCCTCAGCCTAGCCCCCGGTGCTCCTCCAGCAGCAGTGTTCCTGGAAGCCACCCACGAAGGAGCAATTTAAGGGCCAGCCAGTCAATTCACAGAGCACCAGGCACCAGCAGCGCGTGTCTATTGGTGGTGCACATCTGCACACACCTCAGCGCACAACAAAATTTATTCCGCACACACTATACTCAGGGCTCCTCTCCAGAGCTGGGCTACTTCCCGCCTGTGCGGGAGAGGCCTTAGCTGAACCGTCAGGCCCACACACACAGCTGCCCTCAGAGCCCAGCTCCCCCCCTGGCTTGCTGCAGGTGCTGCCTTAGCTACGAGTCACGGCGCAGCTCCAGGCTGGGCCATTCTGCGCCTCCCCCCCGC